CCTCCCCCCGACCCGCACACACCCCAGGCCTCTCTCGCGGCCGACGCCATGTTGACAACACACTCCTCGCGAGGTGGCCCCAGCCTGCGCGCGCGCGCGCACCGCCAAGCATAGCTGCTCCTGCGGCTGTTGGGGCGCAATAAGGTGGGGCGGCTGTCGGTCTGGCCAGACACAGCATCTTGGAGGCATGCACCCCGCCATCACCCGCCCTCCCTGCTGGCGGACTGGGTGGAGGCCTCCTGCAGGCCCCGCCGCGCGCCGGACGCACATGGGGGAACTTCGTGTCCGCGGCCACCCGCCCCCGCCGGGCGGCCGACATCCGCAGCCATAGTTCCAGGCGGGAGGCGGGTTCACGCACCGCGCCGGAGGAGGGAAGCCGCATCGTGCCTCAGGCGCCTCCTCTCCTGGTCCACTCTTTCGATGCTTCACGCCTCCCCCCCCCCCCCCTCGCCCTGTTGTGCCCCCCGAATGGCCGTGCGCTTGGGGGAGGGGCAGGGAGAGGGAGGCGCGGCGCGCCTTTCCTGGCGTATGAAGGTGGAGAAAAACACGACCCAGGGACCAGGGGCAGGCGGCCTCCGTTGGCGCGCCCCGCCCTCCCTCTGGACGACCGCTTGGCTGATGCTCTCTCTTTCCCAAGCACGAGACAGACCACCGTATACAGACACAAGGCCACCAGGGAGGAGGGAGGAGAAAGAAGATGATGCGCCGCCCCCCGCCCCCCCCTCTCCCCCAAGCCCCCAGAGGACAAAGACGCATGGAGAGTAGAAAGGAATTCTTCAACCCATTTATTCGGAGCGCTGTATGGTGTGTGTGTAGGAGTTTCCCACCGGGGTGAAACGGGACACGCGCAGAGAAACGAGCGCACACGGCGCGGACGCACTCAGAAGAGCACGGGCACGCATGCCGCGATCGCCACTGCAGACAGGCCGCCTCTCGAAGGAGAGAGGGGCGCGAGCCCCCCGCCGGCGGACGACAAGGAGAAACACAACCGCTTACTTGCGGAGCTTGCGGAGGTAGAAGTCGAGCTCGGCGCCCTCGAGGATGTAGCCGTCGCAGCGACCAACCTGGCCGGGGCGAGAGGAGATGCGAGCTGTGCACATATCGCGCGGGGGAGAGAGGAACAACGAAGAGAGAGAGGGGGAATCAGGGTCAGAAAGAGTGCATACGTATGGGCGCCCCCGCACGCGCAAGTGCGACACGAGAGAGAGAGAGAGAGAGGAGATGCTCATGGGGAAGGCACACGTACCGTACAGGCGACCGGTGTTGAACTGGTCGATGATGTCGGACTCGACGGTGGACTCGGCCTGGCGGGCGGCGAGCTGCTCCTCGGTGAGGGTGTCCTTCATGGCAGCGGGGGTGTAGTCGGCGCGGACGCGGCCGATGGTCTTGCCATAGTGGGACTCATACCACTGGCGGAAGGGGGCGGCATCGACCTGGATGATGGAGCCCTTGACGAGGGTCTTGGTGCGGACGAGCTCGTTGTTGGTGGCGTTGTAGACGACATCAACAACACGGACCTTCTTGGTGATGGCTGAGGAGGAGGAGGACAGCACACGCGTAGCATCAAGCAGGCAAGGGGAGGGAGAAGGGGGCAGAACAGGGAGGACAGGAGGCATATGTCAGGAGAACGGCCTCGCACATGAAAAGAATGACTCGAAAGAGAGAGAGAAGAAGCGAGTCCCGGCGGCGGATGCAAAACGGAGCAATGTGCATCCGACGACCGCCGGGAGAGTGCACGGAACAACACGCGCGCGCGAGAGAGAGAAAGAGGGAACAAGAGTTTCACGCACACTCGGAACCCCAAGAGAAGTTGCCCATATCGAGACGGAGGGCACGGAACTTGGTGTTGCCACCGCGGACGCGGACGGTGTGGACGCGAGAAGCACCAATCTTGGTCATGGAAGCCTGACGACCGAGCTCATGCTTACGCTTCTTGATGATGATGGGGCGCTTGCCACCGGTGTCGCGGCGCTTGTAGCGCGAAGCACGGGAGATACCTGAGAGAGACAGACAGGATGTTAGGACAGGAGAGGCGAGGGAGGCAAGGTGTGCCTCGAGAGAGAGAGAGAGAGGCAGAGAAAGGGAATCCCTCTTCCTGGAAACAGGCGCGCGTCGTGTCCCGGTAGAATGCTAGCGTCCATGCACACACACACACACACAACATACGCGCACACCCACACACAAAGCCCACCAGGAGAGGAGAGCAGAGGTGCGAGAAGGCGAGGGAGAGATCTCCTCCGGCGACCGGCGCCGCTCCTTTGAGGAGAGGCGATTGGCGTGTGCGTGGATACACGTGTGTGTGTGTGTGTGCGACAGGCCGAACATGGAGAGGGAGCGGGGACGCTCGCGATCACCGAACCAACGCCCCACCCATCACGCTACCCATGGGGGGGCGGCAGAGAGAGAGAGGGAGAGTGGAGGGAGCACGCAGGCATGTCCCGTCCCAGTAGGGAGCCGAGCAGGCAGGAGGCGGCATCTGTGTCCAGGAAGGGAAGAGAACAGGCGAAGAGAGGGCAAAGGGGGGGGGAGGGGAGGGGAGAGGGGTAGGATGTCGGCCGGGGCACATACCCATCCTGATTAAATTTCCGAATGAAAGACAGCAAAGAAGTCGAACAAAGGGAAAATGGAGAGGACCCAACCTGAGGCAAGCGGGCTCACACAGGCCCCTCTCAAGAATTGCCCTCCCCCTCCCCACCCCTCCGACCACCACCGGCGGGGGGAGGGGGGGGGCCGAAGCCCCGGGGCCCACCAGAGAGGCAGGACCCACGCACCCACCGCACGGGGGCGGGCGGGCGGAGGGGGGGGGAGACCGAGGGATGCCCCCAAGGGACGGGCATTGAAGCCGTCGCCGAGGGACAGCGCGTCACGCACCCCCACACACACACACACACA